GTGCCACATGCTGTAGGTGTGCCTGCTTGAGCAGGAAGGTTGGACTAGATGATCTGTAGAGGTCCCTTCCAACCTTAAATATTCTGAAATATTCTGAAATATTCTGAAATAAGAATCATATATACTAGCTTATAGAGTGGGAGCTCCAACGTGGGGAGGGGGAGATGTAGGGAGCTTAGAAGTGTAGGGAGCTTAGCATGAGTAAGTGACATAGCATAAAACAGGACTCAGATAGGGAAGGGCGTTCGGAAGACCTCGCGATGTTACGGAAAGAATAGGGACATGTCTATAGCGCTGCCAAATAAGGATATACTGCCAGGCTACGCTTGTTATTGGGGATTGAGCATCGCCTGCAGCGCTTCTGCCCGAGGGGAAAACTATAAAGGATGTGTGAAGCAAGCAATAAATGTCACTTAACATGCCATCACATTGGTGTCAGTGCTTTGAAATCCCAGGGCGGATGTCCTCGGCCCTGGAACTGAAGCGGCATCATTTAACATCAGTTAACTAATTCCAACAGGCTTGCATGAGAGGCTTTTCCCTGTTTGTAGAGAGGCACAGGTAGGTCTGGGATCTCCAAAAGCAGCATGGACAACATCATGATCCAAGGCCTGCAGGAACTGTATGACTCTCCTATTCGCTTGTATCTTACTAAATTGGCAATTTCTAACACCATCCTTACAGGACATGAGTTGGCCATTGTTAAACTGCAGTATTGTGACTCCTCCTGTTCCTGTTTTTTCACTCAGAGACCCAGCTACTGGGTTTCTGCATTTCAGAGATTTTAAAACTTTGCCTTCAAAGTTTGCTCTTTCAAAAAGCATAATTAGTATTTATGAAGTCATTTAATGCTTTATTTCTGCTTCTTTGCAACTGAGAGGAAGTCTGTGTTTATTTGCAGCTGGTTCTCTAAGGAAAGTAGGTGGGAGCTGGGGCAGATTAGCTATAACCTTCAATTGCCAATTTCAGTAGAACAGAGAAGTTTCTATGAAGAGTGATGGAAGTCCCAGGTGGCTGATGAGAGGAATGGCAGGTTGGGGAGGAAGAGTGTCCATACAGTGCTTGAGGTCTGAGACACTGGTTTTCCTACATGTCCAGATTTCATTAGGAGTCATTCTAGATTGATTCCATTTGGAGAAAGATGCTGTCACTTACTCTGAAAGCTAAATAACAATAATAACATGAAACACTTTCAAAGCAAAAATGCTTGTATATTATTGATGTCWCCACCTTTCAGCTACACTCCCCAAACCGCTCCAATTAGCCACACAGGACTTGAGAATTACAAGGAGAGCTATGGTTTGTGAGAGCTTTTTGCCTTTTAATGATCCCTGTGATATATTTGGTGCTGAGCCCTGGACCTTAGTTACTAAGAGGAGACTGAACAAAACACTCAGGAATTTAAAGTTAAAATCAACCCCCAACATTTGGTTAAGCTTTAATGGGTCCCACTGATAGTTGTTAGCAGCAAAGACTCTCCATGGGCTGATTAGAGCAGAAAATTGTCATCACTGGTAATAGGGAGGCAGAGGAAACATACGGGTGGCTCTGATGCCACATTAACCCTTGATGTGTTTTATCAGGCAAAATGGCCAACTTGGCCACTGAGCTGCTGGGAAGGGAGAACATTTGTCCCTCATGTTTTCCAGGCCTTCCTGGAGACGATGTGTGGGTGGGAGTGTGCAATGCTTAGTGCAGGAGAATGATACGACACCTTTCATGGTGTTGTCAAGGGGGACACTGAGTCCCCAACGTCTCTTGCAGGCCTTGGTGGCAGAGACACCATAGCTAAGCTAAGACACCATTAGCCATAGCTAAGAGGATGAAGACCTCCTCTGGTGTCCGTGAGCCCTGGCAGGGTCTTTGTCTCTTTGTCTCCAGCAGAGCCTGTCCTATGCTGGGACACACCTGCAGCTGTGTCCATGCACCCTGTAGACACCCAAACAGCTTCCCTTCTCACAGCCTTGGAGCCCCAGAAACACCTGGAGGCTGCGCAGGGGACAGAAAATGTCCTGTCTCCAGCTGGATTCCTGAGCTGGGCCTGGCTCCTGGGACCGCAGGAGCCCATGGCAGCCTGGCAGGTGCTGCCAAGAGACAGCTCTGCCCAGGAGGAGCAACTCTTAAAGGAGCACCAGGACTGAAGGCACGGCCCTCGGGCACCAGGCTGGAATGAGTTGCTCATAAAGGAAAGGCTCATCATCAAGGGAGGACGAATGAGAGCTCCTTGTGGGGAGAAACCTCCCTAGCCTGTGACACGGTAAGTGTCTGGCTGCAGCACAAGAGTGCTGTGGCTCCTGGAGGGATCTTTTGAACCCGGCACTATCAGGTTAATAGAATCTCTTAGCGCAGCTTTATTAGCTTCTTCTGCTTGGAGCTGGTGGAGCTTTAAAGCAGAGATTTCCAGGCTCACATGTGTAGGGACAGGTCATCACAGCTGCCCTCTCCAAGGGATGGTGTTGAGTTGTGAAGTGCACCCAGGTTTGCACAGGCTGTAATTCAAAGGAGTGGCCCTGTGTCCCAGGGCAGTGACTCTATGCCATGCGGGGGTCAGCACTCACCCAGCCTGGGGTAATCCCCATGGTGCTGTGGGGGGAAGGTGTGTGGAGAGACCCCCATCAGGGCAGAGTCATTCCCCCATCACAAGGATGCTATGTTTGTCAGGGCTGCTCTCAACTTCTTCTGACCCCAGAACATTTTCTGGAGGTGCCTTTGCAAGAGGACAGCCAAGGCAGTGTTTATGATAAAGATAAGGAGCTCTTCTGAGTCTGTTTTCAGTTTGTGGAGAGCTGCAGGTGTATAGAAAAGAACTGCCATATACGGACAGGAGATGCAGTGCACAGAAAGAGAGATGGTGTCTGTGGCCCTGACAGGGAGAAGACAAGGGACAGAGGAACAGTTGCCAGCAAGAAAATCTCCATCAGTGGAGATAGGATCAGTGAGGAGGAAAGTAGAAAAGTGATTACAGTGGGAGGGGAGATTTGGATCACCCCAGTCAGTTCCTGCAAAACAGGTATTTTCTCTCAGCAAAGCCCTGTGTCCCCTCCCACCTCTCAAGGCCATAGGGTGCTGGTCACGAACCTCATCCTTGGTGTAAGAGGAGCTGTGTCTCTCCCACAGCCTGGTCGTTTCCCCCTTCAGGAGAAGGGCACTGAGAGGGACTGTCCTGGGATGTTGCTGTCTGGGTGGTGGCATGCACAGCTTGGGTAGGTGAAGGTTTTCCTCAGTGCTCTTTTGTCTGCTACTCCTTACTTTCCCTGCTGGTCTGATTCTTGCTCTCTGGAGCTAAGAAGCAGGAGTCAGCAGCACTTAAGGCAGTAACCTTCCTATCTCAGTGCATTGCCTCAAGAAAGAGGGAAGATATTAAGCTAATGTGAGGGCAGGGCCCACCTCAGTGGGACAGAGATGCCTAGAAATGGTCGAATCAGCCCTGACCTTCACTGCAGTGTTCCTGTCTCTTGCTGGAGCAGAAGCTACTGTGACTGATTCAGATACAGACATCTCTGTTCAACTGGCCAAGGTTCATGGGGGATAAAATTATTTCCATGGATCTTCTCTTTCTAGCAGAACTATTATGAGTGTTGCCACTCTCTCTCTTCTACAATAGTAAATAGATAATATACCTACTATATCAACTGGGCCAGGCAATTTAATATCTCCATTTAGAGCCCCGGGTAGAGCAGCACTGACTCCCCGGGAGCCCAAGCAAAGAGGCAGAGCACACTCAGCCAGCACAAAACAGACGTCCGACAAGGGAGCTGAACAAGGCAAAGGAGAAAGGTGATATGGGGGATCCTGTGAGGAGTGGAATTGGTTTTGCTGAGAGAAGCCTATTCTAGCTTGTTGATGCTTTTTCTTCATTGGATAGTGCCTGAAAACAAGAGCAAATGTCCAACGGCAGCTCCCTCAATGAGTTCCTCCTCTTGCCATTCACGGACACTCAGGAGCTGCAGCTTTTGCACTTCTCCCTCTTCCTGGGCATCTACCTGGCCACTCTCCTGGGCAATGGCCTCATCATCACAGCTGTAACCTCCGACCACCGCCTTCACACCCCCATGTACTTCTTCCTCCTCAACCTTTCCCTCCTTGACCTGGGCTCCATTTCCATCACTGTTCCCAAATCCATGGCCAATTCCCTCTGGAACACCAAGGCCATTTCCTACTGGGGATGTGTTGCACAGATCTTTCTGTTTGTCTTTTTCACTTCAGCTGAGTATTCTCTTCTCACTGTCATGGCCTATGACCGCTACATTGCCATCTGCAAACCTCTGCACTACGGGACCCTCCTGAACAGCAGAACTTGTGTCAAAATGGCAGCAGCTGCTTGGGGCTGTGGTTTTCTCAGTGGTGTCGTGCATACTGGGAACACATTTTCAATCCCATTCTGCCAAGGCAATGCTCTGGACCTGTTCTTCTGTGAAATCCCTCAGCTTCTCAAGCTCTCCTGCTCACACTCCTACCTCAGGGAACTAGGGCTTCTTGTCCTTAGTCTTTGTTTAGCTTTTGGGTGTTTCATTTTCATTGTGGTGTCCTACGTGCAGATCTTCAGAGCTGTGCTGAGGATCCCCTCTGAGCAGGGCCGCCGCAAAGCCTTTTCTATGTGCCTCCCGCACCTGGCTGTGGTCTCCCTTTTCATTGGCACTGCAGTGTTTACCTACCTGAAGCCCCCCTCCCTCTCTTGCCCCCCTCTAGATCTTCTGGTGGCTGTTCTGTACTCTGTGCTGCCTCCAGCTGTGAATCCTCTCATCTACAGCATGAGGAACAAGGAGCTCAGAGACACAGTGAAAACATTGATTCAATTGGTAGCTGATAGATGCCCGTCCTTCTTCAGAAGTGATTTCTAATTCATCTCAGACAACTCCTTTACTTGGTATATTTTCACTTGGATAATGATGTTTGTGCAGAAGTGTTTGAATTCCTCCCACTTCTCCAGAGGTGTTACAGGGTTGCTCCCTGTCTTTCTGTCCCAGAGGCCTTCCTTAAATGTGTCTATTAGTGTCAGAGCTGTCCTCCCTCTGATAAAAAGGGATTTCCTCAATACATTGCTTGCTGATTGGGCTCTTCTTCCAAAGCTGGTGCCAAGAATTTGCTCAAGGACTTTCAACCTGAAAGAGCCTGTTGCCTTTCTGGGGCTCTCAGTGGGCTCAAGGCAATGAGCTCATGGGCTCATGTTAGGGAATTCCAGTTGGTTTCCACTCTCACTGGGTTGGTTTCCACTCTCGTCCTAGTATTGCAGTCCTAACTTCAGCCTGAAAGATGTGGCCACAGTGCAAGAGCAGTGACATCTTCAGCCCAGAGACATGTCACTTGAGCTCAGTTTGACCTCTCTTCTCCCACACTTTTCTGCCCATGGGAAAGGTTTTCTGGTCACAGAATCAGAGAATCATAGAATCCTTAGGTTTGGAAGGGACCTCCAGAGGTCGTCTAGTCCAACCCCCCTGCACACACAGGGTCACCTGAGGGAGGATTGTGATCCCCTCAGGGCCATCACGAATCCTTTTCCATGTGCCTCCTGAACCTGGCTGTGGTCTCCCTCTTTGTCAGCACAGGAGTGTTTGCCTACCTGAAGCCCCCTTTCCTCTTTTCTCCAACTCTGCATCTAGTGCTGGCTGTTATGTATTACGTGATGCCTCCAACAGTGAACCCTGTCATCTCCAGCATGAGGAACAAGGAGCTCAAGGACGCCCTGAGGAAAGTCATTTTTTGGACATTATTCAGCAATGGTAATATTGACACTGCTCTCCTAATCTGAAATTCACAAATGTGAATTCTACTGTATCTCATACCAGGACTGAGCAATGTTTCTTTACTTAATGTTTATTATACTTACTATTACTGGCATTTGTTATCATGTTGCTACACAAATGGATGGATTACTTCTTCCTTGAATGAGACTTGTGTAATGCAGTTTCCAAATAAATTGGTGTTTAAGTCTGAGCCAGAGCTGACTCCCTCACTCTGTCGTTAAAACAAGAAGGTTCCACCCAGTGCAGTGCCTGAAGGCTAGTCTTTCCCTCCAAATCTGATGTTAAGAATAGGCCCAAGGGATTGCACCCCAAAGGGTTTGCTGCATAGGATTCTCCTGTGTGCACAGAATTCTCAGGAGCAAATAGCTCAGAATTATGCAATGATCTCTGCATTTAGGACTCACTCATTGGTGACCAGTGACTGTGGAAGGGCTCAACCCATCTGGAAAGGTGAAGAAGCAACTCATTAGGGATGTTGTCTCCAACCATGTGGAGGAAATGAAGGGGATCAGCAGTGGTCCGCATTAATTCACCAAGGGAAAATCAAGCTGAACCAGTCTGAGAGCCTTCTATGATGGAAGGATTGGCTGGGTAGGTGAGGGGAGAGTGGTGGATGTTGTCTCCCTTGACTGCAGCGAAGTCTTGGTCACTGTCTCCCATAACATCCTCATTGGTAAACTCAAGAAGTGTATATTTAGATGAGCAGACAGTGGCTGAATGTAGAACTCCGTAGGCTGTGATCAGGGGGTTAGGGTTAGGGTTAGGATTAACACACAAGGGTTAGGGTTAAAAGACTTGTGGTATTGAACCATGATTTAGAGACAAAGGGCTAGGGCTAAAGTCCTAAAGTACTAGGCCTTAGCATTGAGGGGCTTGGGCTAAATTGCTAAAGGTATAGAGGTATAGGCCTAAAGAGGTACGAGCAAAGGGCTAGAGCTTAGGGCTAAAGCCATGTGGTATTAGGCTAAAGGGCTAGTGGTAAAGGGCTTAGGTCTAAACGGCCATAAGGCTAAATGACCATGGTTAATAGGCTAGGGTTAAAGGGCAGGCATTAAAAAGCTAGGATTAGAAGGATAGGACAAGGGCCTAGGGCTAAAGGGCTCAAGGCCATGGGCATAAAACCTGTAGTGCTAAACCACTTAGTGCTAAAAGGTCAGGATTTAAGGGCTCATGGTTCAAATGAAAAGGCCTTTGTGCTAAAAGGCTACAGCTTACGGCTACGAGCCTAGGCCTAAAAGGCTTAGGGCTAATGACGTTTCATCTCAATGGCTAGGGCTGAGATTTAAAGGGCTTGGGCAAAGGCTAAAAAAGCTAAAAGGCTTAGATCTAAATGTCTTAGTGCTGCTATTAGCTACCAGTAGCTACTATTAGCACTAAATGGGTAGGACTAAAGTGCATAGTTAGCGTTAAAGGACTAGGTACAGAACTTTGCCTTAAGTCCAAAGGGCCAGGCTAGAGGGCTTAGCGCCAAGGGGCTAAAAGTCTTTAGGCTTAAGGGCTTCAGGCTAAATGGCTTACTAGGATGTCTAAAGAGCTTAAGGCTAAAATCCTAAGGCTAAACGGCAACTGTTAAACGCTTTAACTCTCTAGCGATGGGGCGAAAGGGCGAAAATGCCAGTGCTAAAGGGCCAAAAGTCTAAACTGTTAGGGTGAAAAGGCTGGGAAGAAAGGCTGACTGTTAGAAGAGCTGGGCTGAAGAGGCTAGCAATAAAGAGTGAGGGCAACGGCTTGGGGTTGAAGGGCCTAGGGCTGTGCAGCTGAAAGTCTTCAATGCTAAAAGGCTTAAGGCTGAAGGCCTAGGACTAAAGGACTTAGAGGTGAAGGGAAAAAAGCTTAGCTAAGGCTAAAGCAACAAGGCTTATGGCTACAAGAGCAGGGTGAAAGGGCTTCAAGAGCTTTGGGCTAAAGGGCCAGGGCTGAAGTCTACAGAGCTAGGGCAAAAGCACTGGGGCTAAAGGGATCAGGTCTAAGTGGCTTATGGGCTTATGGCCTAGTGCTGAAGCAGCAGATCTAGGTCTTAGGACTGAAACTGACCTTTCAAGGACTAGGCAGAAAGGGGTTGGCTTGAAGTGCTTATGGACTGGCCGGAAAGGGCTATGTGGCCAGGGCAAAGGAGCCAGGCCTTATGGTTACAAGGATTAGTGCTAAATGGCTGCAGGAGAAATGGCCAAGACTAAAGGCTTCAAGGACTGAAGGCCTGAAGTTTAAAGGGAAAAGGGCTTAGCACTAAAACGCTTAACAGACTATGGCTGTTAAAGGGCTATGGCTAATAGGCTAGTGTTAAAGGGTGTATTCTTTAGAGTCGAAGTCCCTGCTGCCTTTGGGGAAGATGCTTTAGCTTAGTGAAGACCTACACAGAGTTTTTATCCACTGAACTTCCCCCAAAGAACCTGTTTTAGAAAAGAAGAAAAGGAAATAAAGGAGAAAAAATCAATTATAAATAAAAGAATAAGAAAGAAAAAAGAATGAGAGTTAGAAATGAATAAGAAAATTTCAAAATCATTGAATAAAGAGAATGAGAAGGTGAAAGAGAAGGAGAGGTAGGAGAAAGGAGAAGAAAAGGAGAAAGGGAAATTTAAGGAGAAAGAAATTAAAATGAAAGGACAAAAGAGAAATAGAGAAGTAGAGAAATACAGAAAAAAAGAGAAATAGAGAAATAGAGAAATAGAGAAAGAAAGCAAGAAAGAGAAAGCAAGAAAGCAAGAGAGAAAGCAAGAGAGAGAGAGAAAGAGAGAAAGAGAGAAAGAGAGAAAGAAAGAAAATGAAAGAGACAGAGAAAGGGGATGAATAAGAGAATGAGAGCCATAAATAGAAAATAAAAAGGAAATGCAAAAGAAAAAGTAAAAGAAATATAAAAAATAATCACAGAACCAGAGTTCAAATTGTGAAAATTAATTAATACCTATGCACAAATTGCCTGGCCCAGGCTGCGCACATACCTACGGAGCCTGCATCCAATGAACCACAGAACATGGACTGGTGAAGTTATGGCCTGGGTTGCTCACGCTCCTCCAAGAGAGGCCCTTTCACATCGCCCAGGCTGTGCAGGGCCAGCAGCACAGAGCTGACCATTTCCATCTGCAAGGGGACAGTTTGATTCAGGTCCCCCAGAATCCCTCTTATGAGGAACAAGTAAGTGAGCCGGGCCTGTTTAGCTTGGAAGAAAGAAGATTGAGAGGGGATCTTCTCCACATGTGCAAAGAGCTGAGGGGAGAATGTGAAGAGGTTGAGTCCACAGATTCTAGATGGCTGTGAGGGCAGGACCCTTTCCCCAGCGTGTGGAGCCCTGGGCGGCTGCTGCCCGCAGGCCTGGCTGCAGCGCGGGGGCCAAGGTGCCTCCGGAAGCTGGTGCCGCTCCCAGAGCAGCGGTGGGACACGCTCTGCCCACAGGCGGCCGCGGTCACTCCCTGCTCTTGGCAGCTGCTGCCTCCTGTGTGCGGCAGGGAGCTGGCAGCTCGCTTTGCTGTGCTCGCAGCCCTGCGCACAGGGAGGGCCCCTTGGCAAGGGCAGCTCCTCTGGACCAGCGCTCACACGCAGTGCTCAGCGTGGGCCTCCCTGCAGCTCCTTGTGCAGGGAATGGCGGGTGCCTGAGGACAGGGAAAGGCTGGGAAAGGCTGGGGGCAGCGTGAGGACACGAGTGTCCCCCAATTGCAGCAGAGCCCATGGACCCTGCCCAGGAAATGGCAGAAGCTGCCAAGGAACAGGAGGAGCTTCCTTGGTGCCCTGGTCCCTGCTGGTGGGGCTGCCGAGGGACAGAGCAGCCTCCRTGGGGGTCCSCAGCAMRGGGCCATTCCTGGCAGCAGCCCATTTCTGCAGCAGCCGCCTSTGGGGAAAGGGCCCCCCGTGACGCGGTGCCAGAGCGTGTCCCAGCCCCGCGGGGCCCTGTGTCCCCCAGGCAATCGCGGAGCAGGGCCCTGCATCTCTAGACCCCATGTCCCTGGGGCGCCAGAGCTTCCCTTGGCCTGTGGCTTGGGCGCTGCGCGGACACGTTGTCTGTGGCCCCCTGAGGGCTGGAGAGCTGCCCCGCGCCGGGGCTGGGGCTTCTTCCCCTTGGGGCAKCCCCAGGGCCACGTGTGAAGGGAAGTCCCAGAGGGACC